GAAAAAAAAAAAAAAAAAAAAAAAAAAAAAAAAAAAAAAAAAAAAAAAGTCCGGGACCAACCAGATCCTTTTTGGGGGGAATTCAAACTCTGAATCAAGAAACTGCAAGACCTAGAGTTAAGTCACTTTAATGATAGTGCCCTAGAAAAAAGGAAGGTCCTTGAACTTCAAGGTTGAGATCCCCACAGTTCTCTCTTCCTTTCTAGGGATTTCCCAGCTGTCCCTTTTGCTTCCACAACCTACCCCAGCTATTTAAGGCAGCTTGAGTTGGCCTGTTTCTTGCAACCAAAATAGCCTTCACTAATACAACTAGAAACATCTCACTGTGCAGAGACCTACAACATAATTTTGAAGGGCTGCACAGTTATTTCACTATATGAAAGTGCCAGAATTTATTTAAGCAACCCCTAATAATATCTGATAATAATTAGGCTATTATTAGGATATTTCCAAATTTTTGCTATTCATAGCAAGAATAATTCAGTATTTTCATCTTAGCACCCATTTAATTATTTCCATAGGATTAATTCCAATAATTGCTGAGATCAAAGTATATGTACTTCTTTTTCCAGAAATATTTCAATATTATTTCCTAAGAACAAGGATTTCTCTGACATAATGACAATACATTTATCAAAATCCAAAATTCAACATTGATACAAACTATTACCTAATCCACAATCCATATTCCAATTTACCCAACAGTCCCAATAATGTCCTTTACAGTTTTTCACCTCTTTTCTCTGATCTGGGATCTAATAGAGGACCACACATTATATTTAGTTGTCTCTTTATTTTTCTATAATCTGGAACACTTTCTCAGCCTTTCTTTGTCTTTTATTACCTTGACATTCTTGTACAGACTAGTTATTTTGTAAAATGTCCTTTAATTTTGGTTTATTTGATATTTCCTCATAATTAGTTTCAGGTTATGCATTTTGGCAGGACTACCACAGAAGTAATGTATCTTTCTCAAAACATGGTATCATAATGCATCTGCCCCATACCTGTGATGTAACTCTGACCACAAAGTTGATTACTTTGGTTAAGATGGTGTCTACTAAGTCAATACACTACAAAGTGACTATTCTTTTTGTGGTTAATAAGTAATTTATGGGGAGATATTTGAGGTTGTGTAAATGTTATATACTTCATCAAACTTTTACCTAGTAGTTTTAGGATCCATTGATGATTCTTGGCTGAATCAAGTATTATTATAATGGTTACAATATACTGATTTATAATTCCACCATTCCTTCTGAATTTATTAGTTGATATTTATTATAAGAAAAAGCTAGGGCCGGCCCATGGCTTGCTTGAGAGAGTGTGATGCTGATAACACCAAGGCCAAGGGTTTGGATCCCTATGTCGGGATGGCCAGTTAGCTCACTTGGGAGAGCGTGGTGCTGACAACACCAAGTCAAGGGTTAAGATCCCCTTACTGGTCATCTTTTAAAAAAAAGAAAAAGAGAAAGAAAAAGATTTCCCTTCTCCCTCATTTACTTATTTACATCAATATGGACCCCCTGATTCTTATTTTATTCCACCCAAGGGTTTGGATCCCTATGTCGGGATGGCCAGTTAGCTCACTTGGGAGAGCGTGGTGCTGACAACACCAAGTCAAGGGTTAAGATCCCCTTACTGGTCATCTTTTAAAAAAAAGAAAAAGAGAAAGAAAAAGATTTCCCTTCTCCCTCATTTACTTATTTACATCAATATGGACCCACTGATTCTTATTTTATTCCACGACTATTCCATTGCAATAATTATTTATTTTTATACTCAGATTATTCCAGATTTGGCCAATAGCAGTCCCTTCAAACTGGTTCCTATGTACTTTTGACACAATCCTATCATTGTGAGCAGCTATTTGTTTTATGATATAAGGTGTTCCATGCTCACCTGATACTTTCCTTGCTCCAGCCCTGGAATTATATCTTTCTCTAAGGAGCCCTGGCTCCTTTTAGTGAAGAATGAATAATATTTAGAAACCAAGTAGAACTAGGGGTACTCAGTGCTATTGAGGTGTCTTTCTTCCAAGCCCTTTCAAGAGATAAAGGATAAAAACATAAATATTCCCACACATATAGCTACACCTATTTCTATCTATATTAAAAATGATGAGTTCATACTAATACCTCTAATAATTCCAATTCAACATCATTCTAATTTTCCCCCTTTCCATTTGTAATTCCCTTGTCTAACAGTAAGAAGCCTGGTTCACAATATTGTCAATATATTTTTTTCATTCATTCAATCCTGCAATACACAGAAAGGAGTTTCAAAATTGCTATCTCATACTGCTATGAAAAACAAATTTTCTAACTAGAGTTTAATATTTGTTTGCAGTTCTTTTTGTCTTTAGTTAAAATACTGTGTTCAAAAGTTATTTGGGTTAGTTCTCACCCATCCCTGCTGTGGTTTGGTTATATTACACATACAGCTATGTTCATTTGTTTTTATTTGTATTCTACAGGTTTCTCCCAAACTTGCTGATTAAACATTAACGTGGCTCCAAAAGTCAAAAGTATACCAAAAAGTAAATATAAAGAAGTGTCACTGCCCCACCAATCACTTCTACCTCAATCCCATTCGTTCTCTATAGATATTAGTCTTTCCTTCATATGTATGTGTATGTGTGTGTTTGTGTGTGTATACACACACATATACATACACACATACATACACACACATACATACATATATATACACACATACATATGACAGATAGACTAATACCTAAGGAGATTTTATATACACTCATTTTTATTTTTTTGCAAAAATAAGCAGGCACATATGTATTTTCTCATTTCCCCATCTTTCATACACAAAATGTAGCATGTTATATATACTTTTTTTTTGACTTTGCTTTTTCCACTCGATATATCCTGGAAATCATTCTGAATGAGCTACTAAAGATCATCTTCATTCTTTTTTACAGCTGCAAAGCACTCCATTGTACACCATAGTTTATTCAACTACTATCCTATATTTGGGCATATAGGTGTTTCCAATATTTTATAATTACAAATAATGCTGCAATGAACAGCCTTTTGCAATATATTTTTAGATTGATGAGGGTGTACTTCCTGAGTAAATTCCTACAAGTGAGACACCTAAATCAAAAAGTAAACACACTTTAAATTTTGTTTCATCTTAGAAAATTCCCCTCCAAAAGAATTTTTATCATACTGTATTACTACCAGCAGTGTATAGGTGAGGCTGTTGGGAAACAGGCACGCCTCACCTTCAGAGTATAGTATTTAGCTTTCCCCACAGCCTCACCTTCAGAGTATAGTATTTAGCTTTTTGATTACTGACAACTTGATAGCTGAGGTTTGGTATACTAGTATAAAGTCTTAATTTGCATTTCTCTTATTCATTAGTGAGATTAAACATTCACAGAGGACTTAAAAGCCATTTTATTATTTATTTTTAAGTGAAGTGAATGTTCACGTCATTTGACCATTTTTCCATTTAATTTTTAAGTGTTCTTCATATATAAGGGATATCAGCCTTTCAACATATCTCTGAGATATGTCAGAAATATTTTCTTTCAGTTTGTCATTTGTCTTTTGATTTTGTGGTATTTTTTTGCCATGCAAATTTTTTTTTAATTGTTATGGAAGAATTTCAAATCAACAACCTACCTATACCTCAAGGAACTAGAAAAAGAACAGGCTAACCCCAAAGTT